CTGAGTCAAGAGGAAACGGGCTAAGTGGAACTCCCAGTCCCCATCTGAAATCCGGCTTAGGGCTTCCTTCGCTGTACGTACCATTCTCTGTGCCTGGCCGTTGGTCGCAGGGTGGAAGGGCGCTGATCGGATGTGCCGTATCAGATTTCTCTGGGAGGAATTCTTGGAACTCCAATGATGTGACGGCTGCCCCGTTGTTGGAGACTATTGTGTCCGGCAGGTCGTGCATGGCAAAAATCTGGCGGAGTGATCAGATCACTGCTTTTGTAGAAGAGGTAGACACGGGGCTGATCTCCAACCACTTAGAGTAGGAGTCAACCGTCACTAAGAATAATAGTCCCTGAAATGGCCCGGCAAAATTGATATGCAGCCGGGACCATGGCTTGTGGGTTGACTCCCATGGCTGCGTAGAGGCGCTTGGCGGGTTGGGCCGAACCTCTTGGCAGGCTTGGCACCTCCGGACCCATGACTTGATCTCGGCGTCGATTCCCAGCCACCACACATAGCTCCAGGCCAGTGCCTTCATCCTTACTATGCCGGGGTATGCCTCGTGGAGAGCCGTGAGGACTTGATGTTGCAGGGCGCCAGGGACCACGACTCGATCTCCCCACAGGAGACATCCTTTCAGGGCCGAGAGTTCATCCTTTCAGGTGCTAAAAGCTGTGAACTTGGCCCCCGGGGATGACGTAGGCCAACCCCTCACCACCCAGCCCAGGACCCAAGAGAGGAGGGGGTCGCGGGCTGACTTGGCAGCGATGTGGGCAGCGTGCAAAGGAGGCTCTGGGAGATTTTCGACAAGCAGGACCCCTGGCGCAGGAGTGGGATCGGGATCAGTGACTGGCAACGGTAGCTGGCTCAGTGCGTCAGCACAACCCATCGCCTTACCCGGGCGGTGTCCCAGGCAGTACTGGTAGCCAGCCAGAAAAAGGGACCACCTGAGGACTCGGGGTGACATGACTTGGGGCGTCTGTTTGTCTGAAGCTAATAGGCCTAAGAGGGGTTTATGGTCCATAGCAATTGTGAAAGGGCACCTGTAAACTAAGTTGTGAAACTTTGTTACCCTGGCAACGATCGCCAACCCCTCCCTGTCAATTTGCGCATAGTTGCGCTCCGCGGCCGTTAAGGTTCTTGAGTAGTAGGCCATGGGAACCTCATGGCCATCAGGGAGGACGTGGCCCAGCACTGCGCCGACACCATAGGGAGAGGCATCACATGCAAAGACAACCGGTAGGGATTCATCAAAGTGGACTAGCACGTTGTTTGAAATTAAAAGCGCTTTCACCCCCCTGAACGCTGCCGCTTCCCTCGGGCCCCAGGACCAAGGGGCCGACTTATCCAGGAGCCGGTGTAGGGGCTCCGCTACCGCAGCCTTGTGTGGCAAAAAGGCGTGGTAAAAGTTTATTAGTCCCAAGAATGCCTGTAGCTCTGCTTTACAGGTGGGTGCGGGAGCCTCCACGATGGCCTTCACTTTGTCCTTAGCTGGATGAAGGCCAGTAGCATCTACCCTGAACCCCAGGAAGTCCACCTCTGAAACCCCGAGGAGGCATTTCTCCCGTTTCACTTTGAGGCCAGCTGAGTTAAAACGTTGCAGGATGGCGCGGAGGCAGGAGGCGAAGTCATCATGGGACGCCGCGGCAATCAAGACGTCGTCAAAGAACAGCGTCACTCCAGGGATCCCTTTTAACAATGAATCCATTAATTGCTGAAAAATCCCCGGGGCTACGCTCATGCCGAATTGTAGCCTCTTTACCTTAAAGGCCCCCCTGTGGGTGACTATTGTTTGCGCCGTGGCCATGGCCTCATCTACCGGCAACTGTTGATAGGCTTGTGCCAGATCAAGTTTCCTGAAAATCTTAGCTCCTGCTAGAGAGGCTAGAACATGACTAACGACTGGAACCAGATAGGAGTGGTTGTGAAGGGCCTTATTAATTGTGCATTTATAGTCCGCACAGATGTGGACTTTGCCGTTGGGCTTAAGGGGGGTTACGATAGGTGTTTCCTATATGGCATGTGAAACGGGCTCCAAGACCCCTTGCGCTACCAAGCGATCCAGTTCTGCATCAATTTTTGGTCGTATGGCAATTGAAGCTGTGCGGAAACGCATGCAGATAGGAGCCACCAGGGGTTCTAACTGCAAGGAAACCAGGGGGCCCTTGTAACATCCTAAAGCCCCATTGAAAACAGCGGGGAACTCCCCGCAAACTTCTGCAAAATCCCTCTGACCACATTTATGCATTTCCCCGACCGTGATGCCCAGCGGCGCAAACCAGGCCCAGCCCAGCAGACTGACGAGATTTCCCTCCACCACTATCAAGTCCAACAGTCCCTCGAACCCCTGGTACTGTACCCGGAACGTCCCCACCCCCCTGATAGGAACTGGGTTCCTTTGGAAGTCCACCAAACTCAAATGGGATGGGCGTAAGTGGGGACCCCCCTGAGGGCAAAGTCTGTGTAACATGTCCACCGAAATGATGGACGCCACTGACCCTGAGTCCACTTCCATTGTGCAGGGTGACCCCTCGATCCGAACCGTTACTTGGATCTTCGGGATATCTGCTAAATTCGGGAGGCGAAGTACCTGTAGGGATGGCTGGTCTGTGAGGAGGTAGAGGTCAGATGTCTCTGCTGTCGTCTCATAGGTGGCGGCAGCCTGGCGGTGTGACTGAGCTGGAGGCTGCTGGTACCGGTTTTCCCTGGACCGGCAGACGTGAGCGAGATGACCCTGTTTCCCACAGGTGTGGCACGTTGCGTCGTGGAATCGGCAGGACTTACGCTCATGTGCCTCTCTGCAGCTTGCGCACGAGGAATGGCCTGTGGTCTTTCCGGTGAATCCTGATGCCGCAGGACCCGGTGGCTTTTGGCAAGAAGGCAGGCGGATGAGACGGAAGTCCTCCTCATCCAAGTAAGGGAGTACTAGATGAGATGCTGCCGGTGGACGGTTGCGGTGAGAGGCCTCATGGTCGATGGCAAGTTGGAGGGCCTCGTCGATCTTGATGTCGGCGGTACCGATCATCTTCCTCCACAGCTTTAGGTCGCTGATGCCCCATGCAAATTGCGTTAAGAGGTTCTCCTCCACCTTGGGGAAGGCACAGTCCATGGCCAGCTGTCGCAGGGCTGCCATGAAAGCAGCGGCCGACTCACTCAGTTTCTGGACCTCGATCCGCCTGGCGAACGTGGTAGGCCGGGGTGTGAGGTACTTCATCAGGGCATCTATTATTTCCTTGTACGAGCACTCGAGGATCGCCCGGGGTGCGAGGAGGCTCTTGGCTAGGCGGACTGTGGTCATGCCACAGGAGCTGAGAAGAAGGGCCCATCGTTTTCCGGGGTCGGTTACTTCATTGTAGGTGAGGTGGCAAGTCAGTTGGTCCGTCCACGAGTCCCATAGTTCGGGATGGGCTGGATCGAAGATCTCCAAGTTCCCCCGAGCAGAGGCCATGGCGTAGCGTTTAGCAGGGAGTGGTGTTCCTTGATGCGGTGTGCGGTGCAGAGCTGCTTGAGAGCGATGCGGGGCGCATTGGTGGGAACGAAACTCAGTGCTGCGCTGGGATGCAAGCCAGGCCTGGCTCAGCGGGATCCCATCCTCGTCGCCACTGAAAAGTACTGGGTTCGCCGCATGGAGGACTCGGACGACGACATGCTTTTGCACACGTTTATTGTACTTAACATCAGACAACTAAAACGGCCCTGCAAGGCCAACTATAGACACACCCACCCAGCACACCCCTAGTCCATTGGAGGGTTTGAATTTCCCGCCAAAGTGGCTATTGGTTGGGGCTGGGGGGAACTAGGATCCAGAAACTGAACAACAACAAAAAATCCATTGCCCATTAGCTATCAGCACATTCCCAGTTACCGCTGACCTGAACATGTCAAAGAAGCAGACAACCTGACACTCTGCAAGACTCTTGAGCAACTTTCCTTTGGTTAATCATTGTAAAGCTTCCATAACTAAGGAGCAATGCCCGAAAGGCAGGGATATATTTAATGGACTACCCAATATAAAAGAAGAATGAAGCAACACACAGGAAACATAAGGCCGCGTAAAGAGACACTTCTGCTGGCAAGCAGCAATTCACGCTTGCAAAGAGGTTTGCAGGGACATGGGGGACATTGCTAGGTATCTATTCTTCGGAAGCCTCGTACTGCCAAATGCTGCCTCTATTCTTCGGCAACAGAACCCTTTGGCATCCGGCCAGGTGTCCATTAGCGAGTTCTAAGATGGATAATATCCAAATGCTGGCGTAGCTTCTTTGGATTGCCTCGCCATAGCAACATACAGCTCTTCCAGCATTCCTGTTACATGGGTGTTCTGCTTCCTTTTGTGTGTCTCAACTTGCAGGGCTTTTCTTCTTCTTCTTTTTCACAGCATCCACACAATATCATCTTGCAATAATTCACTTCCATGGTTTCCCCTGTTTTGCACCATTCCTTCTGAAACTTGCTGTCTTACAATCTTTCAGAAAGATCTCCCCCCCATCTTTTAAAAAAAAATCAAAAAATCAAAGAGAAAGAATTCAAAATCCAGCAACTAAACAGATCTTTTTTAAAAAGAAAAAGATACATAAATCAAAATACAACAAGAGTGGGGGGCAGATCTATACACATGTTTCGATAAAAGGCTTCAAAATATCTAAAAATAAGTCCATACACAATTGCCATCTATATGCCATGCATTCAAATACCCATTGATTTCTCAGAGGTGGGCTTTTATCTTTTCAATGTTGTAATATGAATCTTTTAGCTGTAGTAAGGGCATGGAGGGTCCATTGTCGTTGACCATTGGGTAGCTTGGGTGTCCAATATATCCTAAACATAATTTTTGTGGGATGAGTCACAACTTAAGATCCATGGAGAGAGCAGATATAAACTTAAAACTATATCCCATTGCTTTGACAGAATAGGATGATCAAGCTCCTTATTCCATTCATTCCAAAGATTCTGCGTATCATATTTATTAATCAAACATTTATAAACAAATATCGTAGGTTTCATTTTCCGTATCGATTCAATTAATGTTTCCAGGAGCAAAGGGGACTTTGAGACACCATAGGGCCATATTTAAGATACCAACTGATGTTGCCATTGTAAAAGTTGCCATTCAACAGAAGTTGACGAGTCATATCTAGACTTTAGCTGACAAAATGACAAAAACTCATCATCATAATCTATCAATTGGTCCGATGTAAAAATTCCCCTGTCGATCCAAAGCTTCCATAAAAAAAGATTTCCCCCCAGTTTTTAGGTCTGGATTGGCCCGTAATGTTAATTTAGCTTGTGAAAATGGATCAAATTAATATTGTTGTCACATTATACACCATTGTTCTCTAGCTGCAGAAATTGCAGGAGGAATGAGATCCACTCTAGCATAAGTAGACCCTAATGCATTCCACTTAGACAGTGGTTCCAGACAAGAAGCCCCAAAAGAGCCCAAGATGGATAGTCCAACTGCAAGGAGCGATCCCAAAATTAGTACAAGTTAATAAGCATGCTTGATGATATCAACTAAGATCAGGGAAACCAAATCTTCCTTTATTGAATGGAAGTTGCACCCTGTTTAAAGAAATCTGAGGTGGTAAGGATCTTTCAGAAATATCTTAAAGCAGATTTTCCCCACCATGTGGACAGGAAAGTAGAGTTTTGAACCTCCTTCCCCATGTTGGTTCCATTTTTTCCTTGGCATCGCCTTGCACCTTTTCTCTCTGTGCCACCAGTGAGCTTATTGCCAGCTTTATTTAAAAAAAAAAAATCAGTATTAGAGATATATCTGTCAGAGTTTGCTTGTTCTCCTGGGCCGATGGGAGGTGTGTGTGTGTGGGGGGGGGGGCTCCAGGATGCCAGATTCGGGGAGGTGAAGTCCAGAGAGCGGTGCCTCAGAAAGGGGAGATGGAGGGGGTTACTTCACCCAGGTCCTCTCATTCTCCCCTCCTCACCTCTATGTGGGCTTCTTTACTTTCTCTCTCTGGTCCGCACCCATCGACACAGAGGTCTGAGGTTCTTCCTCCCCAGCCTGGTCTGTCTTCCTCCCTTAAATCTCCCAGCCCCACTACCGCCCCTCCCTCCTGTGCTTCAGAGGAGAGCAGCCCCAGGGCCAGCCAATTCCCCAATCTTGTCCTCCGGATTCCAGCCTTCTTCCTCTCTGTCAGGCCATCTTCTTTGGGGATGCTGTCCCCCTCCCTCCTCCTCGACCTCCTTTTGTGGCTGCGGTCCCTCGGGCCAGCCGAGGGGATAAGATCCCGGGGCCTCCAGGCCATACCCCCACGGATTTTCCCTTCCCATTCTGTCATCTGAAGATAGGGGCCACTTGGTATTCTCCATCCTTTTCTCTCTTTTGGACGGGCTCTTCTTGCCATGTCTTGCCTGCCTTCTCCACGGTCCTCAACGGTGGGTCCCTGCTCAGCTGGTTGGTTCCGGAGCCCTTTGGGGGTCTGAGCTGAGTCCAGGATGAGGGGGTCTGACTCCCCCTTCAGACGATATCACGTTTACTATAGCATCATAACATTTTCTTATTTATTTATTTACTTACTTCATTTATACCCTGCTTTTCTCCCCAGTAGGGAACTAAAGCAGCATGCATTGTTTTCTTCTCCTCCATTTTATTCTCACAACCATCCTGTAGGGTAGGTCAGGCTGAGAGTGTATGACTGACCCCAGCTCACCCAGTAAGCTTCCAGGGCAGAGTGGTAATTTGAGCCTGTGTCTCTCAAGTCCTGTTCTAACTCTCTAACCACTATAGCTGTATTGCCACTATCATTTTCTTTTGAAAGCCTGCAAAAAGCCCTCCAGTGATGTGGGGATGGGGTGGTAAGTCGGATGTCAGGGAAATGGGGTAGGTGCTCCTTTGGAAACTCCTCTGCATTCACAGGGGCAATGTATTCACAGCAGGGAATTAATGATTGCTGTGAGCCGCCCCCAGCAGAACTTCTCTCTTTCAGTTGAGCTAATTGGCATTTTGTATCCTGCACCCTTTGCATGCAGTTCCAATCCAGAGGATTTATTTGTTTGCTGCAGTTGCCACCAACAGTTGGGAACTGAATGCTCTGGTGACTAGCCAATCAAATTGCAAATTAAATGGACAGTCTTCTGGTGATACGCTGTCCTTTGACTTGCCTCTGGCACGCCCAGGCAGACAGCTGGCACTTAATAGCATGGCATGAGTGGCTGTGAAGGCGGACGTTGCCTGCTCTATGATCCCCTTCCAAAAGCGAGAGGACAAAAGGAACCCAGCAATAGCTATCAAAGTCGAGGGCTTATCTCTCACTGGCTGTCTGGGTTAGTAAATTATTTCGTCAGGAAAGTGGATGTTAGCAGTACATACGCTTTCGGGTACCTTGAGACCCAGGAAATAGGAACTGCAACCATTGGGCTCTGGAGCCTTGTATTCTGGCCTGGGAGTTGGTGCCTTTCCTGTAACATAAACAAAAGGAGGATGGGAAAGCATGAATAGTTTTAGATGGAAAGAATAACACTGGACAAAGCCCTTTAGGCAGGTGCTGAACAACATACAAACACACTGCTTTGAGAATGACAGGAGTACTCCGTCCATGAATGTTTTTTAAATTAACAATTTTTATTCATTTTTAACCAATCCAACAAGGCGAAAACAACAACTACAACAACAACACAACACAACCAATAATTCAAACTGCATAAACAGGTGCAATAGTATATGCATACAATGTAAATATAGTTCAGTCAAATTACTGATACAAATTCAAAATTTGAAATGATATAATCAAAGACCCATTAAAAATATAAAAACTTTTCATAATAAGAATGCTGTGGTACTGTTAAATATTGTACAATGGGAAACCATATAGCTTGAAATACCTTTTGTTCCCTTTGCAGGGTTTGTAAAGCAGTGTTTTTTGAGATTTTACTATGAACAAAATATTCCCATAGTTTTTGTTGCCAACTATGCAATAATGGGGGTTCTTTTTATTTCCACTTTTGAGCTATGGATATTTTTGCTACAGCAAGGAGTATTGCTATTTGTGTTTTAATGCATTTGTTATCAATAGGGATTAGGCCTATTTCTAGAATCACTGATTCGAAAGTTGAGGGTAAAGTAATACCAGTAATTATTACAATTTGTGCCAAGATTTGTGTCCAAAAACTTTGTATTGAAGGACAATACCACCAGCAATGTGCATAATCTCCTAATTGACCGCATTGTTTCCAGCACATAGCCGGGATTTTAGGATTTATTCTATACAGTACAGAGGGTGTTAAGTACCATCTATGTAGTACTTTAAAAGTGTTAAATCTTATGTTGAATACAGGAGAGTTAATGTTAGGTAATGCCCATATTGATTGCCAAGTTTCCGTGGGGTATTCTTGTTTACAGTCCAAATGCCATTGTTTTTTGACTTATCATCCAAGGACTGTCATGAATGTTAGCTGCATAATGTGATAGTCTTTTGTTTTTGTTGTTGTTCAGTCGCACAGTCGAGTCGGACTCTTCGCGACCCCATGGACTAGATCCCGCCAGGCCCTCCTGTCTTCCGCTGTCCTCTGAAGTTTGCTCAGCTTCATGTTCGTTGCATCTCTGACACTGTCTAACCATCTCATCCTTTGCCGTCCCCGTCTTCTTTGACCTTCAATCTTTCCAAGCATCAGGGTCTTCTGCAGTGAGTGCTCCCTTCTCATTTGGTGGAGTCAATCTGATTTCGGTGTTGCCCATCTGGTGATGTCCATGTGTAGAGTCGCCTCTTAGGTTGTTGGAAAAGGGTGTTCGCTATGACCAGTGTGTTCTCTTGACAAAACTCTGTTAACCTTTGCCCTGCTTCATTTTGCTTTCCAAGGCCAAACTTGTCTGTTATTCCAGTTACCTTTTGACTTCCTACTTTAGCATTCCAGTCCCCTATGATGATGAGGACATCATTTTTTGGTGTTAGTTCTAGGAGGTGTTGTAGGTCTTCATAGAACCGGTCCACTTCAGCCTCTTCTGCATCAGTGGTTGGGGCATAGACTTGGATTACTGTGATGTTGAATGGTTTGCCTTGGAATCGGACAGAAATCATTCTGTCATTTTTGAGATTGTATCCCAGTACTGCCTTTTGCACTCTCTTGTTGACTATAAAGGCCACACCATTTTTTCTACGAGATTCCTGGCCACAGTAGTAGATATAATGGTCTTCTGAGTTAAATTCGCCCATTCCTGTCCACTTTAGTTCACTGATTCCTAGGATATCGATGTTCAGTCTTGCCATCTCATTTTTGACCACGTCAGGCTTACCTTGATTCATAGATCTTACATTCCAGGTTCCTATGTAGTATTGTTCTTTGCAGCATTGGACTTTCCTTTCACCATCAGACACATCCACAACTGAGGGTCCTTTCGGCTTTGGCCCAGCCGCTTCACTCTTTCTGGGGTTACTTGTACTTGCCCTCTGCTCTTCCTCAGTAGCATATTGGACACCTTCCGACCTGAGGGGCTCATCTTCCGGCGTCATATCTTTTATCCTTTTGATACTGTCCATGGGGTTTTCTTGGCAAAAGTACTGGAGTGGGTTGCCATTTCCTTCTCCAGAGGGATCACGCTTGGTCTGAGTTCTCTGCTGTGGCCTGTCTGTCTTGAGTGGCCCTTCACGGCATAGCCCACAGCTTCATTGAACTACGCAAGCCCCCTCGCCACGACAAGGCAGTGATCCATGAGGGGATCCATGAGTCTTTAGTAGGACCGACCAAAAAAAGCATCCATACAACTATTAAGAAAGCTGTCCCCCTTTTTGGAAGACTTAATGCAAAGAGAAGTGGGCTTTTAGTTCTGGAAACTCCTGTTGGGGCTTGACTTTTAAAACACTGATGCAAAATGGTCTGGTAGTTATCAATCTGTATGGACTGAGTGTTATTGCTTATTGAATGTAATGAATATTTATACCTGACTAGGATGAAACAATGATACACTATGCACTTTACTAAATGATGATTATAAATAGAACACATTAGTTTGTTATAAGGTTTTTGCAGTGTACATTTATTTGTTGCTAGATTCTCCTAACACTGCAGCTCGGGTTGCTTCAGCCTCCAGGCGGGGCCTGAAGTTCTCCTGCTATTACACGATCTCCAGATGACATAGATCAGTTCCCCTGGAGGAAATGGCAGCTCTGGAAAGAGGAATCCATGACATTGTGGCCTGCTGAGGTCCCTCTCCTCCCCAAATCCCACCCTCTCCAGGCTCCACTGCCAAAATGTCCAGGTATTTCCCAACTCAGAGCTGTTAACCCTCCTGTCCTTGGAGTTTTCCCCAGGTGCGACCTGCTTATCTTAGCAGTTGAGCTGCTAGCCTCAGAATCGCATTGAGCACAAGGGTTTCATATGTCTTCCTTCCTTCCACATTTTCCCAGTTACCTGCCACATTGGTTAATTTCTTACAGATGTGCCTTAAAAATTAGGATTTTTTATTCAGGGTAGTTTTGAGTGAGGGTACTCTTAACAACAACCATCATAGCTTCCTCTTCCCAGACCCCACCAGGAGATCCTCTCTAAACATTCTTTCTTAACTAGCGTTGCCACATTCCTACTAGTAGCAACAGGAGATCTCCCACCCCCCTGCCACTGCTCCCTACCACTCAGCTGGGTACTGGGGAGAAAGTGGCTGGTGGAGTGGGAGGCATAATCAGTGTCCCCAGCATGATGATGCAACTTCTGGCGTGATTTGGCAGTGATGTCATCACATCAGGCGACACTCTAGCATTTGCCCCAAACTCTAGAGCAGGGGTGTCAAACGTGTGGCCTGCAGAGGGCTCAAAACTGCCCCCCTCAGCAACTTCCTTCTCCTGCTTCCTTTCCCAGGGCTGCTCCTAGCTTGCTTTTTCACAGCTCTCTCAGTGGCTCTTTGATTCCTGCCTCTTGCCTCCCCCCCCCCAGAGCTCCGTGGCTGCTTCCTGCGGAAGAGATACAAGGACGAACCCTTTTTTCTGCGTCCTTTCAGTTACAGTGTTATGATGCCCAGACCTCCTGGGGTTGTCTTGTACTCAATTGATTAATCTGTTAATTTGTTCTGTCTCACCGTCACGCCCCTTTATTAGCACCCTGGTGCTTTGTACATGCCGGGCCTACGTGGAAGTATACGGAAATTCAACACTAAGAGAGAAAGAAAAAGAGAGAGAAGTGGAAAGAAAGAATGAAAGAGGTGGAAAGAGAGAGAGAGAGAGAGAAACAAAGAAAGCAAATAGATGGGAGGGAGGGGGAGGGAGGGAGGGAGGGTGGATTCTTCTGACAAGCACAATGTACATTGAGGAAATTATTTTGGCTTATTTTGAAAAGTTGTGGTGTGTTTTTTTAAATGATTGGATTTTTCTGTTCATATCTGGATTTATTTCCTTTCAAAATTACCCTGATTAGGAATTAGAACATGTGGGTTGGTCCTTATATCTTTGAGGGTCGAGTGATTTCAGATGCCAAATGATAACAGCACACATTGGTAATGAGACAGGAAAACTAGGTCTCAATTCAGTCCTGGAGGATGCATTGTCTTGAGCTTCATTATCAATTGCAATTCAGCAGTCCTTCTTTCTGATCTCCCTTTGAAATTCCTTTGTAAGAGCACTGCTACTCTTAGGTCAGCAACTGAATGTTGTAGTTTCTAATGTCAGACTTATGTCCATTTATTCTTTGCATCCTCCTGGACTGAATCCTCCTGGATGGAATACAGACCTAGGTTTCCTGTCTCATTATCAGTGCTGATATCTCCACGCCTACTTCCCCTCTACATATCACACCTAATTCTATCATGCCTGCTATTGCCATTCGGCATCTGAAATCATCTTTATAAAGTTTATATCTCTGGCACCTTGTGTTACATTTTATAGCACGCATGGTCCAGCCCAACAAAGTGACATTTATGTCATCCGGCCCTCATAACAAATGAATTTGACACTTCTGCTCTGGAGGTAAATTTTGGGTGAACGCTAGATTGTGATGATGTTGCTTCCAGGTTGCACGCCAGCAATGCTAATCATGCCCCTCCACACCATAAGTTCCCACCTCTCCCATCTTCCACCAGTTGCCATATATAGGTCCCTGCCACACAGCAGGGAAATGGAGGGCTGATCTGCGGCAAATGTGAGCCGCACCAAAGTTGGAACGCCGCAGCGGGATCCCACAGATCCCCAGAGCCGCGGCGCGTCACTCCCCGGCACGATCAGATGCCGGGGAGGAAGAGTTGGCTGGGAGGGGGAGGCTGCCGAACTGCGCATGCTCGAGCATGCGCAGTACGGCAGGGGGCCGGGAAGCACCAGCGCAAATACAAGCCGGCCGATCCCACGGCCCGGCTTGCGGCGCTCCAACGGATTCCACCACCTCGGTAGGTGGTTCTGTTTTCCTGCGCGGTATCGCCGGTAGGGACGGAACCGGGACGGATCCGGCATGCTCCCCAGATGTTGAGGTGGGATCGTGCCGGT